GAATGAATGAATGAATGAATGAATGAATGAATGAATGAATGAAAAAACAAAAGAACAAACAAACGAACAAAAAGACAAACAGACAAACAATCAAACAAACAGTCACACTTGATCCCATGTTTACTGTGTCGCTCGCTCCCAGGTTTCACCCTCACCTCCATCATGGTGTGCCCCTTCGACATCGCCCCCCGTTTCGCCACGCCCCTGATGTCCATCAGCAACTGCCTGGCCACCATCCCGGGCATACTCACGCCCTACGTGGTCTCCGCCATCACCGTCGATGTACGTGCTTTCATTTCTTGTTTCACGTGTACATGTACTTGTTTATCTTAATCTCACATTTCGGATTAACCGTGTTCAGTTTCAATGGACTGACTAACTACTGTATACAGTTCCGTTTATCTTAATCTCACATTTCGGAATAACCGTGTTCAGTTTAAATGGACTAATCGATAAGAGTAGGCTTCGGCCGTCACCCACGCAAAATTCAAAAATGTCCTACCAATTGACAATGTTTAATATGTGTCCTGCGTGCTCATATGACCTTATGCAATTGCGAGCGCCGTAAAACAAACAAAACAGGCATATTTCTGTTGCAGGGACGAGTCAGGCAGGGAGGAACTGACAATTTCCTTTAATGTGTGAAATTTGGACAATACAAGTAAAGTGAAATTCATCTTCCACTTCATGAGTCATACCTCTCACAATATAAGGGTGAATTCATTAATGTCCACCAATAAAGGTTGTTATTTTATAGAGGGCTATGAGTTTTTAACAAGGCTATGGCTCTTTTGTTCCAAGACCTTTCAACACGTAGCTTTCTGAAACAATATATCAATATATATGGTAAACAAACCAGTTATTATTTTTAATACAGTTGTGTTTTACGTCGTTTTTCTTCCAGCAAACTCGCGAGCAGTGGCAGATCGTGTTTTTCGTGACCTCGGGGATTTTGATCCTCGGGGCTGTAGCCTTTTGCGTGATGGGGAAAGCTGTGGTACAGCCGTGGGCGGACGGCAAGAGAAACGAGCTGACCATCGGAGTGGACGCACCAGTGGACACTGTGGACGAGAACGATCCCATTGATGAAAGGGAGAAAGAGAACGGGGTCGATACAGTTAAGGAAATAGTGGATGTTTGAGGATTGGAGAAAATAGTGAATTGTTATATTTGGTATTGTGAGTTTGTGTTTTTTTTCTTATAATTTTCTTATATTGGTATCGTTTGTTTGTTTATTTGTTTGTTTCTTTGTTTGTTGTTGCTGCTGCTGCTGCTGTTGTTGTTGATGATGATGATGATGATGATGATGATGATGATGATGATGATGATGATGATGATGATGATGATGATGATGATGAGGAGGATGAATATGATGAGGAGGAGGAAGATGACGATGCTGCTATTGCTGGGGTAGTCCAAAGACTACAGTAACACATTAAGAGAGATGGACGCAAAACTTGGGTCATGTTGCAGACAGTTTAATCAAAATGCAGCCGAATATCTTTGTGTGATTAAAAATGTACGGGGCTGGTCCAAACAATCTCAGAACAACTTTCAAGAAATCACCCCCCCCCCCCTAGATGTGCATGTATCAGGTCGGATCACATGAATGTACGCCAATTTCGATCGCTTTAAATGCCTGTATGTAGTCCAAATAAGCCTCTCTTTTTTTCTGTATAGTTACAGTACACAGAGTGCAAGTTACCCTCCGGGGCAGTGCCACGGACTGTAATGTCTTTAGGCCATTCCCAAAGGGGGGACATTTCTCGTTCAAGCATAGTAGAACTGTAAATGGGCTGACTCATGTCACGCTCGTAAATGTGCTGATCTACAACAGGAAACTGCTGCTTTTTCTTTCCTGATCCTTAAGCCTTACTATTGTCATTTTCATCTACTTCTTTTGTATGTTTGTCACTCTCTTGTGACCTGCTATTTGGGGTTGACTTGATAGTCGAAGCAGACCTTGTGCTGTTGAAGCTAGAGAGGTGAGCAGAGTAAGTCTGATTACCTGTAAAGACTTCTCTGTTGACCCCCACCCCTTGGCGCTCATATGACCTTATGCAGTTGCGAGCACCGCAAAACCCTCTACTAAAAAAAGAAAAAAAAGAGTTCAAGTAAGTGGCTGCCGTTGTAAAGAGACATGCTAGCTCTCTGACTCAAGGAGGAAAATTCTGACAAATCATTACAAGAGAAAGTGTACGCTGGAATGCTGCGCGTAAACAGACAACACAATTCTATGTTGTTGTTGTTGTTGTTTTTGTTGTTGTTATCGATCCAGCAACAGCTGGGCTCTCGCCCTTCTGTCCAATGCGATGTAGTGATGAGTGCAGGTTTGCTGTAGTTGCTGTAAATTAAAGTTCCATAGAGTGTGTTGTCAATGTTAGGTCTCGGAGGGAGAAGGGTAGCTCTGATGTCATTTAGGGCTGTGCAGTGGAACAGGTGATGATCCACAGACATGACACACGCACAGTCACACAAGGGACACACTGGGGGAAGTTCCGGGACACAATTCGATCAAACAGAACAATTCTCACATCCGAGAATCTGATACAATTTCTCGGTGCGTGCAGCCGTGGCTTCAGTGTTGATATGCTTCTCCTTACTCAAACGAACAAACAAACGAATAAACAAACAAACAAACATACAAACAAACAAAAAATCCAAACAAACAAGAAGTCATTGTTCTGAGGAATCATTTATGTTTTGAATTGATATCAATAATGGACTATTGAGAAGATTAGATCATTGTGCGGTGCTTAAACACACACACACACACACACACACACAAACACACACACACACACACACACACACACACATGTGTCACAACGCGGTGGAATCAGGCACTCGTCAATTCCACACAGAAATGAATTCTTTAACAGGCAAGAAAGGTGTTGAGCCAAAAACCAAATATTCCATAAACATTCACAAACCAGCGGAAAAATACCTGTTTCCTCACTTTGATTATTTTGACGAGAGCCTGATTCCACCACGTTGCCTCACATATACATAAAAGAACACTCTTACACACGCACATGCACGTAGATAGACAAAACACACGCACTTAAGTGTGTCAACCACAGTATAGCTGTCATCCGTCACAAGGCTTCAGGACCCTTGCGTTGAATTTGTCTGTGCTGTCAAGCCTTAATAGGACAGGTCACCACATTATACTGTCCGGGGACCTAGATCTATATATACAGTTGACGTTGTTATAGTTTAAAGCAAGAGCATAGTTAGATATTTATAATATTATTGTTAATTTGTTCTTCGTGTTGTTTCGTAGAAACGGGGAGGGGGTATTTTCTAAGAAAAGAGTGTGGTTTTGTTTTTGATTTTGTTTATATTGACAGGGGGAGAGCAAACACACTCCAACATACGCACTCCGCCTCCCCCCCCTCTCTCTCTCTTTCTTTCTCTCTCTCTCTCTCTCTCTCTCTCTCTCTCTCT